GGCGGCGGTGGCGGCGTCCAGGCGGCGGCGGCGGCAGCTACAGCAGCAGCCCCGCGGAGGGTGAGACGGCCGTGGTGGCGGCAGCTCGGAAGTCGGGCGGGACCTAGAGCTTCCCGCCTGTCGCGGAGGCTGAGGCTCTCGCCTTTCCTCACCCTGCTTCTTCCCTCGGCCCTGGCTTGGGCAGGGCAGCGCGCCCCCGGGGAGGGGCGGAGCTGTAGGTGAGGCTTTGGGACCCCCCTTCCCCCCCTCGCCCAGCCGGGGGCGGGGGGCGGATGGGGAAATCCGGGAGGGGCGACCCCACCCTACCCACCCCTGCCCACCGGCCGGCTCCACCCCGCCCGGCTGCCGGGTTGGGCGGGAGCTGAGGCGCTAGGTGAGGGGGATCCGCGGAAGGTGGGAGAGGGGCGCGGGGCGTTCTGGGCGCGGGGGACGGAGGGTGGGAGGGTGATGAGGCGTGAGGCTGCGGGCGAGGCGGTGGCGAGGTGGAGAAACTGGGGAGCCCGAGGAGGTCGGGTGCGGTCGGGGTGGGTCTGTGGGTTTAGGTGACTGATGTGAAATATTTCAAGAGATGAGGATTTTTTTCCTTCTGTAAAATGGTGAGATGGGACATGAAGGGTTGTATTTCGAACGGAAGATGAGCTGTGGACGTTGCCTTTGAGGCATTTGGAGAAGCTATTGCACCAGATCTCACATTTCTACTTGAGTGTTTTGGCTATTTTCTTTCTTTCTTCCTTTCTTTTTTTTTTTTTTTTTTTCCCTAGCTGGCGGCGTGGGCAGAGGGGTCGGGAAGGAAAGAGGATGTTTCTGTTTTTGGTTTTTTCATGGTGGGTAAGATTGTGAGCGTGGATGGATTTGAAGTTTTATACCCAAGAAGGGTGAACTTCATTGTGGCCGCAACCTTTCGTGAGAGCTTCTTATATGTAGTTCCTTAAAGGTGTTACCCTCCCGTCTTAGGTCTGTGTCTAAAAGAGCTTTATGTCATTGCAAGCCTTATCCTGGCCCTTTTAAGAGAAGGCCTGAGAATCAGGTGGTTGCTTTGGAAGACTTTTCTAAGTAATAGTTGCAGGTGGTTGTGGTGAACTGCTTTGGGTGGATACAACGAAAAATTTTAATAGTTCTTTGGTAGCTAACTAAATGAAAAATACTTAAATGTCTTAATGCACAGGTGTCTTACAATTTGTTTTTGATTAGACCTTGACATTTACATATTTTGTGTTTGATTGTTAGAAGTCACTTTTCAATTGCAGATGCCTTTATTAAATACTTAAAAAAGGAAGTGATATATACATATTTTTAAGTAGGCTCTTCATTTTCTGAGATAAGCTCTTTAATAATATTTTGGGGCATGTGTCTCACTTCATAGTGAGATGTTACTAAGAGTAAACAGTGTTTAATGTCCTCATTAGTGTTTCACTACTTAGCATATTCAAATTTTTTTCTGGATTCCTGCAACTGTGAGGTTACAGTATATCCTGACTGTACTGATCAGTGTCATTAAACTATTTCTTGATCAGAAAACAGGTCCTGTGATGGACATGCATTGTATAATGAAGGGCAGTATGTATGATTCTCAGTGATTTATTTTATGGGGGAAGAAAAATCGTCATGAATTGGAATTTAAGCAGTGACTTTCTCAAGACTTACTCAGTGTATTTGGGAACATGGCCAGAGAAGTGCTTTTCTGTAACAGACCCAAGAGAGAAATATACATATGTGTCAGTTGCAGATCCTAGACTTTTTTTTCATGGTGTCTACTTAATGAGCAGTATATAACCTTGTAGCAAATGTTTCTGTTTGAAGAAACTTACAGGAACAGATGCTGTAATAGCTGCTAAGTAAGAAAGGGTGTGGTACATTTTGTAATTATAAGTAAGATTTAATGAACTACTCAGATAAAATTATAAATTGGTACTATGAGTAGTTGTGGTTTTGGATTAGTTATTTAGAAGAAAAAAATGAAAATACACATCTCACTTTGTTTTTTAAATTATACTTTGATTTAGTTGGGTAACATGGGGGCAAATGTGAACTAAGATACTGGGTGAAACCTTTGTGTGTATATTGCTATAAAATAACTTTTATATGACTGGGACATGATCTTTTTTATTGTAGGAATGAAATCAGGTGATTTGAAGCAAAGTGTGAGGAATGATCTACCTCCATTTAGACTTTTTTTATGTATGAAAGAAATACATTTTTTTTAAATTTCAAGAAATGTCTCCTACTACCTATTACTGTGATATTCTTTGAATCTTTGAGGTTTTTTTTTTAATTCATTACTAAAGACTATAGATAAGTATGTCAGTCTCTTAATTCAACATTAATACTGGAGACAATAGTGAAGGTTCTCATAGTAACTGTGCTTTCTCTACCATTATGCTTTTGGAAGTGGAGGGAAGAGCTGCCACATGTGTATCTATTTGTGTCTAGAACATTGATGGAGAAAGGTCAGGACATGAAGCATTTTGGTTAATCAAATAATCAGTAAAATGATTATCAAATTTCAAATATCAAATGAGGTAAATTATCATACGGATTACATGGAATATAATTAAGTTCTTTGGCTCTTCAGCTTCAGAGACTTGGTACACCAATCCATTCAATTATTCCTCCAACAGTTATTTATTGAGTATAGATCTGGGTACTTTTTTAGCTATGGGGAAACAGCTGAGACTAAAGCTGACAAAAAATCTCCATCTTCATGAAATTTACCTTTTAGATACACTAGGGAAATGAAGAGGAATCCAGCACAGGAGAGTGATCAGAAGTCATTGGTTTAGAAAAATGAGGGATGAGCATGAAGTACTAGAAGTGAATAGGAGGAAGTTTTCACTGAGGAGGGAATGATCAGCTAGGTCTTTGTTTAAAGATGTGTCATCCTGTTGGTAAGAAAAAAAAAATTGCTCGATTATGATGTCTAACAGCAGAGAAATGAGTAACTGTTATTTAATGTGAGAGATCAGAATCAGTTTTTAACTGATTCTCTGGATTGATTCTTTAAAAGAATCAGAACAAAGTAGACAAGCTGGGAGTATATATTTGTGGTAAGGATTGTTATTAATCATATGTATACTTAATTTTTTAAAAATCAGGAAATGCATGTACCAAAGCAGAAAGTATAAAAAAGTACAAAGGGAAAGTAGCCTCATCCAGTTATTCCTGAAGGTGATCACTTTCCACATTCTGTTTCTCCTAGTAAGTGAGATACTGTGCAATAATACGGGATTTAACTTTAAAATTTCATTAATATAGCCGGAATTTTATCTTTTAAGCTTTAAAAAAAAAGATTTTATTTATGCATACAGAACTGGTGTACAGGCCAGAGGTACAGAGGGTGAGAGGATTCACCAGAGACATGAAGGTTCTCATAGTAACTGTGCTTTCTCTACCA